AACATTATAGAAATGTCAAAAAAGAATGAAAATTAGGCTCTAAAAATTTAAGTAGAAAAATGGGTGTAATTTGAGTATTAAAAGTGAACCGTTGAGTTTTAAAAAAATTAGACTGCGCCATTAAATTCTGCGCACATTAAAACCTAGGAAATAAATTTAAAATTTCAAAAAAACATGAAAAATAAGGTAAAAACATGTATGCATACAATTAATGGAAAAAATGAGTAGAAAAAAAAAATTAATAATTAAAACTCATTTATATGGAAAATGGTTTTCTTCATTAAATTCTACGCGCTTTGAAACCTAGGAAACAAGTTTAAAAATTCAAAAAAACTCGAAAAATAAGCCGTAAATTAAAAAACCGCGTCTAAATGCGGAAACCGTGTGTGCTGCGCGCAGCCAAAACCGCGTCAAAACGCGGAAAAACCGTGTTTTTTTATTAAGGCCCATAAAAAATACATAAAAATAAATAAATAACTTAAAAAGTATAAATAAAACTTTAATTATTATTGCAGATTCTGAATCTGCATACAATTTAACCTAGAGTACCTCAGCCAAAGGTACCCATAATTCTAACTCCTTCACCCTGTAATATACACATGAATAATTAACAGGTACCCTCAGATCACGGGTACTGTGACACTTATGCATTATGCATAATGCATATACTCCAAATCCAGTCACAGAATTGGATTATTTTGTATGGCTTAGAATATTGAGCAGTGTGGAGTACACCTCGGGCGCAGTTCGACGTGGGCGGACACCGATTTTCTTGGTGGATTCCACGAGTGACCACTGCAGCAGGTCGGACCAGCTCCTGACGGTCCACAGTTTTCTGTGGACTCCACCCACCCCTCAGAAGTTGCCCCGAGGAGCCGACGTGAGTTCGGGTAGGGCTGCAGTTGCAGAAACGGCGGGGGCCTCAAAAAGGAAGCCAGTGGGAGTCGAACCCGGGTGGCCAGATGGACCTGCCGGTCAAGGGGGAACCTTGACGACTAGTCCACAGGGACTTGTTGTCACCACGGTCATTTGCGTGTCGCCGCGGATGTAACCGTCACCTTGACGAATCCGCGTGCGTGACTGCGGCAGTAGGCGCAGTGACTGCGCACGAAACCCCCAATGAAACCCCCAGATGTCGCTCCGCGCGGGAGCGACATGCAATTGTCCGTGGTGTGTTGGGCTTCCCCTTTTGAGATTATATTGACCCGTACTGATCGGTTTCGGGTTATTTTTACTGACATCACAAAAAAAAATTTTTTTTTAATTTTTTTTTTTCTTCAACACTTGTTTTTCTGGAGCTTTTAGACTGTCAGGACCCGTTCTAGCGGGTCGCAGTTGTAGGTAAAAAAAATTTGGCCGCCGTGGAACCGACGTGAGCAACGAGAGCCTGATCGGCTTGGATGGGAGTTTGTGGAATTGACGACAAAGAAAAGCTCGGTTCATGGAACCAACGACGAAATCAGTCCTTACCGAAGACTTACAGAGCTGATCTCGTCGGTTCCACGGATCAGCCGAGTTTCGTCGGTTCCACGATCCCGCTCGGCAAGAAGTGCCCCTGGGGTGTACTGTCTCCAAGCCCACGCGCCGCGTAGTCATGCTGTGCACTGGTATCCAAGAAATGGGCCACAAAAGCCCCAGAATCCCCATTGCACTTGACAACAAAGCCCCCACACATGTAATAAAGTACAATCAAGCTAGAATATCCATGAAAATACTACATTAACCATATTCCAATGGGTAACACGTGTAGCAATCCTCAGAAGACACCTTTGGAATATTCTGTGGCCCATTTCCAAGGAAACTGCTCCACGTAACAGAGTAGCCCCTATCCACAGGTTCCCATGGGACATTCTTGGCTTTAATAATCTCGTGCATGACCCCTTGGAGCTTCTAGAATATTATCCCCAAGGTTCCAGCCCTGGTTACATCACCATGTGGGCCAAAATGGGCCTAAAAGCGCCCCCAAGTCCTACTAAGCTCCCCTGAGCAACCCCTGATGCCTTCCACAGGTATTTAAAGGGACTTCTGACCGCCCAAATAATGATCCCCCAGCTTTACAATACTTTATAGAAATTTACTTACCTTTTACAAGTCCCCTACACTTGTAATTAACCTAGTTATTACTATTATTGCTGTTACTAAGCCTCAAGAACCCTAAAGAAACTCCCCAGTAATCACTCAGCACCCAAAATCCACCTTTTTAAGCGCTTCCAACTGCCCAGTTTTTACTCTGAAGATTCTCAAGACCCTACTGGATTGTTACTAGTAAGTAATAGCCCTTTCTTGAAAATTTTCCCCTTAAAATAAAATCCTGGGATATAAAACACCCCTGTTTACAGGCCCCAGTGTACCAGGGACCTAAATCCTCTGCCTTAGCACAATAACTTAGAGGGATCTAAACCACCCCTGATTTATCAGGCCCCTCTGGTTTAATTTATACTAATTTTATTAATATAAAGTGGCCATTTTTCTCTTAAATTAAAACCCATAAATTCCCCTGTTTTATTGGAATTTATTCCTTTAAAATTAATAAACAAAACTCTACAAGCTTCTTGTTTTCTCTTGCACCACGTGTGGCTAGAAGATCTTGTGTCTTGGCATCATGTAGGCTGACACTGAACAACTGTGGAATTTATCCTTGGTGTTTGAAACCACAAATTTATTCCATTGAGGACAATATTTAGACAGATATTTTTGACCTAGTACTTATTCAAAAGGGATAGAATACAAAAGCACATTAAAATTTTTGCCAGCACACTTCACTGTGAAAAGATCTCATTCAACTGGTTGCAGTTAACATGCAGGGTAGTTACACTGTAACTTGGTTATTACAGAGAATTATTGCAAAATGATTTTTTCTGCACAGTGACTGTGCATGATGCACAGTCACTGTGCATCAATGTTTGACTCAAGTAACTCTTGAGTAACATTTGAGTTGAAACACAAGTTTCATTGGAGTTCCCACATGTCAACTGCTGCAGTT